GTGTAAGCTGGGCCATGAACGAGGATCCACGATCTGAGATCAGGACTTCGGGAGCGCCGTGCCGGAGGACGATGGATTCAATAAAAAACTTGGCAACTTCCACAGCAGTTCCGGAAGGAAGGGCTTTCGTTTCGGCGTACCGCGTGAGATAATCTGTGGCGACGATGATCCAGCGATTTCCCGACGTCGACGGCGGAAAAGGGCCAAGTAGATCCATTCCGATCTGCTGGAAGGGTGCCGTTGGCGGAGGAATTGACTGCAAGAGTCCGGCCGGCTTCGTTGGAGGTTTCTTTCGTCGCTGGCATTCATGGCATGATCGTGTGTATAAGTGGACGGTCTTGGGGAGCTTGGGCCAGTAATACTTTTCACGAATACGGGCCAGTGTCCGGCTGTAACCAAGGTGTCCGGACGTCGGGTCGTCGTGGCAGGCTTGGAAGATCTCCTCTCGAAGGTCGGTCGGGATTACCAGCAGCCACGTCGAGTTGTTGTTGCCGAAGTTCTCTTTGTAGAGAACTCCTTGTCTAATGGCGAAGGTCGGCAGGGCTCGTGAGAAAACACGTGGTATGGCACTCCCACGCCCTTCTAGGTGCTCCATTAGTGCGCGCAGCTCAGGATTGTCTCGTTGTCGTCGGGCCATGTCGTCGCTGTTCACTGCGCCTAGAAAACACTCGTCGTCATCGTCGTCGCTGCTGTCGGAAGGTATTTCGACGGGAGCTCTAGACAGGCAGTCGGCGTCGCTGTGTTTGCGGCCTGACTTGTAGACTACGGTCATGTTAAACTCTTGTAGTCGGAGACTCCATCGCGCAAGGCGTCGCTGTGTTTGCGGCCTGACTTGTAGACTACGGTCATGTTAAACTCTTGTAGTCGGAGACTCCATCGCGCAAGGCGTCCTGACGGGTCCTTGATGTTCGCAAGCCAGCAGAGCGAATGGTGGTCCGTGACTACGCGGAACGGGCTTCCGTATAAGTACGGACGAAACTTCGTGATTGCCCAGACGACCGCAAGGCATTATTTTTCAGTCGTGGAGTAATTTCGCTCCGCCTTGGACAATGTCCGACTTGCGTAGGCGATGACTCGCTCCGTGTTTTCTTGTACTTGAACCAGTACCGCGCCAAGTCCTGCGTTACTTGCGTCCGTGTGAATCTCGGTTTCCGCATCCTGGTCGAAACGTCCAAGAACAGGAGGCGCCTGCAGTCGTCGCTTCAGCTCGTCGAATGCCTGCTGCTGCTCCTCGGCCCATTCGAACTTCTCGGCGTCCTTCGTGAGGCTTGTGAGCGGTGCGGAAATCCTTGCGAAATCTCGAACGAAGCGCCGATAGTAGGCACATAGCCCAAGGAACCTTCGCACGGCCTTCTTGTCTCTTGGCACTGGAAATGCTGCGACGGCGCGAGTCTTCTCTGGGTCTGAACGAATGCCTTCGTTACTAACCACGTGACCTAGGAACTTCAGTTCGTCATAGGCGAACCGACACTTTGACGGCTTGAGGGTGAGTCCGGCGGTCCGTATGGCTTGGAGAACAGCTCGGAGTCGTCGCAAGTGCTCGTCGAAGTCGCCGGAAAACACTACGACGTCGTCGAGGTAGATGAGACAGCTCTGCCACTTCAGTCCTGCCAGTACGGTGTCCATAACACGCTGGAAAGTTGCTGGCGCCGTGCATAGTCCGAAGGGCATCACCTTAAACTCCTACAGCCCATCCGGTGCGACGAAGGCTGTCTTCTCTCGGTCCCGTTCGTCGACTTCGATCTGCCAGTAGCCGCTCTTCAGGTCCATCGATGAAAAGTATCGAGAATGGCGCAGCCGGTCTAACGTGTCGTCGATGCGGGGGAGTGGATAGACGTCTTTCTTCGTCACTGCGTTCAGCTGCCGGTAGTCCAGGCAGAACCTAAGCGTCCCGTCTTTCTTCTTAACCAGTACGACTGGCAAGGCCCAAGGACTGCTTGAGGGTTGAATTATGTCGTCGTTCAGCATCTCTCGAACTTGCTTCTGGATCACCTGCCTTTCTTTGACGGAGACTCTGTATGGAGATCGGTGCACAGGGCACGCGTCGTCCTCGGTAACGATGCGGTGCTTCGCAACGGCGGTTTGGTGCACCATGGACGACGTCGCAAAGCAGTCGCGGTATTCGGCGAGAAGGTTAAACAGCTGACGTCGTTTCGGGTCCGGAAGCTTAGGGTCAATGTCGAGCTGCGCTGGCGACGTACTGTCTTGCTGAGGTGGCGAGGATTCGTCAGCAATGGCGGCGATCTCCGCGGAGTTTCGGAGTTCCTCAACGTGGCCAACGGCTGCCCCTCTCGTGAGGTGTTGCGCTTCGTTTCGAAAGTTCGTCATGAGGATCACAGTGCGGCCATCCTGAAGTTCAGCTACCCCTCTTGCGACGCCTATTCCTCTTCCTAGAAGCATCTGGAGGCTCCCCTCGAGCAGAACTTCGCCGCAGAAAGCTTCGGTGATCCCGACAGGTACGAAAACACTCGACCGCGGCGGTAAGTTTACGTGACTTGCAAGGACTCGGACCGCGGATGACGTCGCTTTCGGTTCCTTCGGTGGTGAAACAGGTTTTCGCAGAGTTAGCCGGTTTGCTCTGAGGTCGATGACGGCGCCATACTCGCCGAGGAAGTCCACTCCGAAGATAACGTCCCTCGAACAGTCCTGCAGAACGACGAACTTCACAGGGCACGTCTCACCGTGGATCACGACGCGAGCAGTACATCGCCCGACTGGTGTGATGAGGTGCCCACCGGCGGTTCGTATTTGAGGGACTTCCCACGGCGTTGTCACTTTTCGCAAGCGGCGAGAGAGCCTCCCACTCAATACTGAGTAGTCTGCTCCGGTGTCCACGAGTGCCGATGCGTCGTGGCCGTCGATAATGATGTTTAGGTTGTTGGACACCGATGCAGGGACGTCGTTGTGATGCGTAGCGTCGAGAGAGTGGGAGCACTCTGGCGTTCTTGGAGGCTCTTCGGTCGTCTTCGGCAACGCCACCTCCAGGCGTTGCCGCACTTAGTTTTCCCGGCGACGCAAGGGCGACAGGCTCTCTCGACGGGGTCGTGGCGCTGGAGACGCTGAACGTCTGGGCGACGGTGAGCGGGACTTACGGCGGAGCGGCGTTGAAGATGGCGAACGTCGGATGTACTCCTCGATGTCACGAGGGCGTTCGTCGTACCTTGGGCGCGGGTCGTTCGGTGGAACCCGCGGAGCCCCAGTTGTCGGTAGGGGCATCGACGGTAAATGTGGCCCGCTTCACCGCAGTGGTAACACAACGGGCGTCGATCGGCCGTTCTCCACACGTCGGTCTTTCGTGGAGCAGCTTGTTCTGGGCGGACGTACGCCCGATCTTCATGGCGTCGTGAATACTGCGGCGCTACAGGTTCACGTCGGGATGGCGCCGTATACGGGTGAGCAGGGGGCGGCGGTCGTCGGGTAGCTGCGGCGTAGCTCAGCTTCGGTGGTTCAGGAGCGGCCCTGGCAAGAACTTCTGGCTGCAGCGCCTGCTGAAGTTCTTCCCGGACAATCTCGGCGACTGAGGGCGTAGCCGGGCTTGTGGCAGGAGGTTGCAGCTTCCTGATTTCCTCCCGCACGACGTCCCGGATAATCTCGCGGAGGTCCGGGCTGTTGCAGTTGGAAGTCGAGAGGGCTGCGACGCCGGGAAGTCGCTGGTAATGGGAGGTCCGTGCTTGAAGGGCACGTTCGATGTTTGTTGCCTCCGTGATGAAGCCTTCGACGGTGGTAGGCGGGCTCCGAACAAGGCCTCCGAAAATGTTTTCCTTGACGGCGCGCATCAAGACCCGGAGCTTTTTCTCTTCGGAAGCGTTTGGGTCGGCCCGATTCATCATGTGGAGAACGTCTTCGACGAAGCTCGTGACGCTTTCGGTCGGCCCTTGGGTTCTCGCTCGCAGGAGTTCTTCGGCACGCTGTCGTCGGTGCTGGTTGGCAAAGGTGCGTCGCAGCTCGGCCTGGAATTCTTCCCACGACGAAATCGACGCTTCGTGGTTCTCGAACCAGGTGCGTGCCGTGCCTTCCAGAGCGAAGTAGACGTTCTGAAGGCACTGCTCCGGAGTCCATGTGTTATGGCGAGCAACTCGTTCGTAATGTTGCAGCCAATCTTCGACGTCCTCGTGGACCTCCCCGTGGAATGGCGTCGGAGTCCGGGGTGGCAGAAGTCCGTATTCCGGGTGTAGACCTTGGGTACGGCGACTGGTCCGAGTTTCAGGTTCCGCGTAGAGTGGTCTTCTCACCGGGCTTGGAATCGGGCTTGCACTGCGGACCCTGGGAGGGGAACGCTTCACGGGCATGCGCACCTCCACCAAAATGTCACGGGTAGTGACCAATAAACAAGAAATAAACAGGAAGGAATAAACGTTTAATGTGGCGAACTTGTGCCGAAAATAAAAAGGTACAAAAGATAATAAAAGAGCGTCGCGGGCGTCGAAGTCGGCGTAGCAGCGGAGACGAACGCTGGGGCGAAACTGACTGCGGCTCGCCACGCGGAGCCCCTTATGTACATGCGTGGTCTTCTGGAATAATCGGCGTAGAAACTTCGGCGCGTAGAACATTCGGGCCTGGAACAAGCAACATGATTCTCGAATTCTCCAGAACACTAAGTTACAGGAATAAACAAAAGACACGTCGCTCCCAGGATTCGAACACTAGCTTTTCGCGTGGGAGGCAGGCGCGATAACCATTAGGCCACGCGCGCGCTGCCTACTTGGCCAGCGCGCGCGGCAATATCACGGTAGAGGAGGTCTCCCCCCAATCTAATCGGGCCATTCCAGTAAACAATACGAGGGAAGGGGGCCGGGGACGAGCTTTACAACTCCCGATTTCCCCAAAGACAATGCACGAGTTGCTTTTCGTACCGCACTGAAACAGCCGAATAGGATCGGATAGTCAAATATTTTTCGGATATCCAGACACCCCCCCCCCCCCCCCCACTTCAGGTTGCCATATAAACCAAGGACGCGCCTAGGTGTTTGACCGACAAGTCGGCAGTAAACAGAGCTTACCCTGCTTTGCAGGAGCAGCTTGCTTGATCCACCTCCGACATCTTCACGGTGATCCTCACTTCGTGGGGGGCACTACCAAGCGCGGTAGTTTGTAGGACAAACGCCAGGAAGGTGAAAACGCAGTCGTGGACCGTTTTGACGGCGGACTCAACAACATGGCCCGCGTAGTAAACATCATCGGCCTCATTGAGGCACCGACTCGTATCGCACGCCTTGTTTACATAGCGATCGATACTTGTCAGCGGCAGCGCAACTGCAAAGAGATAAGACGAACTTGCTGGTTAGAGAGTGACGAGCAACCACAGGCACTACCACATTTCCACGCCAAATATCTTCCATCAAGGCACCGGCACAGCATCGGTACCGCACGAAGCGGAAAACGAAGAGCGGGTTTGCTTACCTGGAACTCGATCGCTGCTGCATGCGTCGTTCATGGAGAAAAAGGATCCAAGACGCGGTTCCCCGTCACTGTCCTTTCGTAAACACGAATGAAAATAAATACTCGGAACGAAAAACGTGGTGAAAAAAAGGAAATTTGAAGCGAAAGTCTGCCTAGTACTACGGCGTCACGGCGTTCGAAAGGCGAACTCGGCGAGCGGATGGGAAAGTGTCCTCCGCATGACGTCAATGCCGTCGGCCGTTTGAGGGCGCAACGCAAACTTCTCCCGGCTAATAACCCACATTATAATTTAGAATGAAGAACTAAGCGCGACTATTTTTTTCGCACGATGTACAGAAATATATCTATAAAGATATAAATATATTTTTATCAATAAATTTAAAACTGTTTGTACACTGTTAGGTTCACTTTTTTAAACTTCATATTTTTTTACGAAAGAGTTACACATAAAAGACACCCCTAACAGCACATCGTCCGACTTTCAACACACAATGAATCGCCGACGCTCGCAGTCAGAAGGTTGCGATGATGGGCGAACGGTTTCTGAAAGATGCTGGGTAGGGTAATCCGAGCGCAACGGCTTCGCGACCGTTCGAAGGGCAAATGATTCGCGACAACAAAGTAGCGCCTTGCAGCTTCAGTAAGCTAACGGGGCTCAAGAGTCCCACGCTCACATTTCCGCAGAGCGAGCGCGGCAGGCCAGATCGAGGCCCAGTATGCTCTCGCGTCGCGATTGCTACGTCGTTGCTCTGCCTACACTGATGACATGTGCACTGGCAGTCGAAGCAACCCTCTCGAGACTTCACTCGAGTTTAATATATAATTTTATAGCGCAATAGACTCTCGTGAAACTAAAACTAGAAGTCACTTCGGTTGCGGCGTATGTGGCGGCTTTATGTTTGTTGACACCTGCGTCGACAATGACTAAATAGGCACAAAAACATTAAATTTAAAAAATAGAGCACGCAGAAAGAAATACAAACATGGCAGGGGCACGGAAAAAGAGAAGACGTTAACGCTACGTATACATGCAAAATACATTGGAAAAGACAAAAATACTTAAATCTAAAAAACGGAATTAAGTTGTGAACGCCGAGGTAAGGCAATGTGAAGGGAGAGCAGCAGGCAAAAAAGTGCAATAGTCCTATAGGCAGCTAAGGACGTATTTGTGATTGCGGTTATAAAGCGCCTGCGACGTACGCCCTATGAGGTTGGCTAAATAATATTCTCACCCGAGCAAGCTCATGAATGACTCTTTTCCAATTTCCTACCTCTGCAATGCAAAAAAGAGGGTCGCGGGTCTATAGCCTAGGTGACACAAATATCGATAAGCCATTGGCTATGGCAGTACAATATTGACCAGCCTATACCAAGACATCACCAATATAGGAAAACTCTTGTCTTTGACAGATTAATATTAACCAGCTTATGCCAGCATATATTCAATATCGGAAAATCATTGGCTCTGACAGTCCAATATTGTACAGGTTATGCCGGCGTATATCCAGTATAGGAAAGCTATTGGCTTAGACAGTCCAATATTGGACAGCTTAATGCCGGCGTATAGCCAATATCAGAAAGCTAGTGGCTCCGACAGTCGAATATTGGACAACTTATGCCGGCATATATCCAATATTGGAAAGCTATTGGCTTTGACAGTCCAATGTTGACCAGCATATGCCAACGTATCACCAATATTGAAAAACCATTGGCTTTGATAGTCCATTATTGTCCAATGTGTTTCCAATATTGGGAAACATATGGCTCAGTTGGGCCATTGTTGGGCCATTCTTTGCCACATCAAATCCAATGTTGGCCCAATACTGTGTGCTGCCAAGGTATGCTTAATAAGTGTGCATAAAGAGCTTGCTGGCATTTGTTTACCTATCATCTAATTTCTGGAAAAGCAATAACTACTTTATAAAATGATACATTTGGCATAATATATAGTTATATTTGCGTGTTTGGGGTGGGTGCTTTTTGCTGAGACTGCTTCCGTATTCCTCATTCGTGTCGGAAACGTAACATATAGAATCGATAATTGGTTACCTCGATCATCTCTAGAGTTTCTTGTAAGTGACATGCGTGGCGAATACACGTGCTGGCACCAAAATAGCAAGTCGGCAGGAGGACGAGGAGAACAGCGGGAATGTCCTGCTGAGCGAAACGAATTCTAAACCGTAGTGTTAGAACGCATCCAAGCAATGCAAAGAGCAAGTCGTCTGCTTCTTGCACAGGAGATATGGTGACTTCAGAACGAAGCCGAGCTCTGATTGGTTTTGATTTAAAGGATAGTGGGTAGACCTCAATGCTAGTTGCCTTGAGGTATAGCCACTTATTTTAATCAGCCAATAAGGGCTCAGCGTTTTGACGTCACGCAACCCCTTTGCAAGGAGCAGACAAACTTGCGCTCCGCACTGACTTCAGGAAAACCTTTCGTTTTATGGTTTTACTTGCTAGTTCTGTCAGCCATTTTTTCTAATTTAAACTCCTAAAGAAGCTTTCTTGTTCCTTTTTAGCCAGTGATGCCTGTTTTAGTAATGGTTAATTAAGTATGTATGTATGAGCAGGAAAGGTATAGTTGGTATTATAAAGTTTACAATATTTTGCCTTTGTACATTTATCAGATAGAGTAGATTTGTAGTCTGTTAAGTATTGGAGTACATTTAATTTGTACTCTGTTGAGTATTGGAATACTTTTGGTTGCTAAACAGGGACTAGAAATATTTGCATTTCCTAATAATGAACGGTAGTCAGTATTGGACTTTATTTCATACCATACTATTGCAGCTTGAAATCGTTTTGCTTTTAGCTTATGGAACGTGCGATTTAGGTTGTTAAATAGTGAAAATGTTTTGTTTCCATGAGGCTTAAATTGTTTTTCTTTAGTTGTCTATGCCTACTATTTTAAATACATTAGAGAGACCAGCATGATACCACCAGGACAGTGCCCAATGGTAGCCATTCAAATACTTTTTTGCCACTGGAACGTATGAAAGGTTCTAGAACGTCACATGAAGATGCTTTTTTATCTATATTTATTCTTGTATTTTGAAAAACACATGCGTGCTTACAGCACCGAGTTTGACTCGCGTTACCAGCTCCAAGATTTGCTTATACTGCTACGAAACTCGATTTTTGTTGCTCCTGAGCTGCTCCAAAGCTGAACTTTTACTCCTGCAAAGCTGCTCAAAAGGGGCATCTTTGCTGCTCTTAGACCTGCTCCAAAACACTGAAGGTTGCTTCCACCCTTGCAAGTCTGACCTTGTCACCTTCGCACTCAATACCGCAGCCGCTGTCTCGCTACCATACAGCCGGAAGCGCACTGTGGCACGAGCACAGGAGGAGATTTGTCTCTGGGTCAGTTGGTGCCAGTGTTTATGCAGCAATGTGCCAGGCGGTACTGATAGCACCACACGTGCCGTTTCAGCTCATACCTACCGCGATAGTACCTGATGTCAAGAAGCAGCAGTTGTTAAAAAAGCATGGTAAACCAACGTTTCATGCCTTGTAAAAGAGAACACTTCCACTGGTTGAGAAAACATCCTCAGACTGCAACCCATCACCTGCACCAAGCCGCTTTTGGGGCTTCCTTCGTCATGTTAGCACAAGGGCAAATGGGCTTTGTCTTAGACATCAGATAAGGTTTAAATCTTTGTTCTTCGGTGCCTTTCATTGCAGGAGCGTAAAAGAACTTGGCATTGTTGACATTTATGGTTTCTTACTTTTAATGCTTAATTCACGGCTAGCTTAGCTCCCAAGTACTGTGCTCCATATAGCGATTCTTTCCCGTCTTTCTGTGAGCAATGCTCCAACCATGCGACAGTGTTCTCCTGTTAGTCCCAATCATGTTTAAACTTTACAGCTGTCATGACAGATCTTGCCCTCCCATCTATTCCGAAGGGTCCCTTTGTCCATAAAGTCCTTTTGTGAATTTGAGGAAGGTCTAATAAAACAAGCGGCAGAGGCGATCATCATTTTTATCCGCGGTTAGCTTTTGTGCATAAAAACAAAATAATCTTTAGTGTCTGTAGGTATTCAATAATGTACAAAAAGAGGTTGGGGAATTCTGGGAATGCTATCTGCAAACGTGTAATTAAAAATATTACAGAATGAACTTGCATTCTACGGCAAAAAAGCAAACGTTTCAGTAGAAGACACTATCCTCTTGCTCAAATACAAAGAAAATGATAAAGTTCTGGAAGACGACTATGGATAAGAAACTCGTACAGCTAAATTCTAAGCACCTCGTCTACAGGAGGTCAGCATTAGTTATCACAGAAAGTGCCCAACATTTAAAGAAAGAAAAAGAAAACATGCCTCCATAAAACCTTCTATCATTCGTTCTGGAAGCAAAATAAAAATTAACCAGATAATACTGGCTAGAAAAGTGGATTATACACTTTTAAAACGGCTCACAAAACATCTCTTCAACCACAAACCTTTTAACAAACTTTGCTCAAAAATTTAATTACGACTGTCCTTGGTGTCGCTCAAGCCAAGGAAAATCCTCTCCAGAGCAAACAGTGTGTTGGAGGCCTTGCATTCATACTGGGTGCTGAAAAGCCATTATGCTGCCAACAACATGCACAGCCCATCTTCTGCATTAAAAACGGAGAACAAGCGCTCACGATCCTCAACAAGGTTAAGAAAATCTGCATCGTCCAGCTCTTGCTTGTTGTAGAGGACACATGGTGCCGGTGGGGTGTTCTCGTCCTGCGTTTGGTAAAAGGATAAAGCATAACATTTTTTTCAATGTAGAAGGCCAAAGCATGTTTGCTCTTGTCAACTGCTATTATTCACTGCAGTTAAGGCCATGAACATCAGCCTCCATACAGGCATACAGTGCTTATGTTGGAACAAGTAACCGGCGTCTGCAGCAATGTAAAACGAATGAGGAATTACAATCGGGGCAACATCACAAAATTCAAGTATTGCGATATAATCTTAGGGGCACTTGTGAGTATCTCTATTTCTGTACCGAAATGCATTTCCGAAATCTACTTGTGTTTTAGTAGTGAAATATTTTTGCGA